GCTAACATCAAAGGAGACTCAAACCGAATGTTCTGTATCGTGTAACGTTCGAAGGTGGATTCGGATTGGTTATTGAGGAAATTCAACTGCCTAATGGCCTCGCTGGCCATAGCGATATACCCAGCAGCTGGGAAGACGACGTCGCCGTGTAGGACATGGTCCGACAGCCATGGTACATCGTCTAGCCGTAGCACATTTCTCCATGATGGTTCCTGAATTGTTGCTTCCATTACCATTGATCCTAGCAGCTCATGGTGAGGGAGTGAGCGTAGCCGCCAATCGCGACTTGGTCTACCCTCGCTCCAGTACATGTCAGTATGCATCCATGGAAAGCGTGGGATATCGCTGAGAAGTCTACCGACTTCCACAATTGTGGGAAAGCTGATAAAGGACCCTGTGTTGAACACTTGTCCAGCAGTTGCGAGCAGTAGGGATTGTTGGTGGTCATCGTTGCGCGTAAGGGTGGGTATGTACACGGGAGGTGACCGAGGAGTAATTTGAAATATCTGCCGAAGAGGCGCAGATAAAGCGGAATGTGGTCCGACTTCTATGAATAGCTGGCTAACCCCCGTCTCTTTTTGGAGGAGCATTTCTACTGCCTTTGAAAAACGAACAGGAGATTCAAGGTTCCGACGCCAGTAGCTTGGTCCGAGTTGAGAAGGATCAGTAATGATATCCCCAGTGACAGTAGAAATCATTGGCCGCATATGTGGTCCTGGATTCATATGAGGTACGAGAGCTTTCTCATATGACGTTCCGATAATCTCCATCTGCGCTGCAAGATTACGTCAATATATATTTCAGTAGCTCAGCAGTGGGTTCGAGGCATGTTGGCTAGCGTCAAGACTTACGAGAATGGTAGGCAACCTGCACACGCAGCTTTCGACAGAAAGTTCCCGGAAGGGCCGCCGTAATGTTGCTGATTACCTGGGGAATCTGTTCCTTGGGTCCTGAAATCGTCACGTTACGAGGGCTATTCTCACAAGCGACGACCACCCCGTCGACAAGGAACGGTAGAACTTCCTCATGGCTCAATCCAATAGATGCCATTGCACCGGAGCCCTCCTGTGACCTGGCCAGCCTGCCACGGTAGAATGCGATTATAATAGCTGATTCAATGGTTATCGCACCTGATGCGCAGGCTGCAGCAATCTCACCGCTAGAATGTCCAATTACAGTGCTCGGTTGGATACCCCAGTGTGCTAGGATCTGGAGTAATCCGACCTGGAGGGCAGTGCACAGTGGCTGGGCTAGTTCAACCTCATTAACACGCGACTCAGTGCCCACGCGCGATAGCTCCTCTATTTTTAAGTTAGTATCTGTCACTGCATGCAACCTCCTGGCTACTAACCAAGTAATGACCATTCTGGTGGCTCTGCCAAGTTCCGAAGCACATCATCCATTTTCTTGATCGCGTTATAGAATAGAGGCTCAGTTTCCAAAAGCTGCCTACCCATTCCCGCCCATTGCGCTCCTTGTCCAGTAAACACGAACGTTAATGTAGGAGAGGGAAGTGTCTTGGGTGACGAGTGAAATTGGGACTGGTCCACTGGCGTGTCTGGGTAGACGACCGCGAATGCCCGATGACTATGATGCTCCCGTCGTGATGCTAATGTATATGCCAAGTCGCGAACGCTCGTGGGGTTAGTGGTTATGTAGCCTGCTATGTCTTCTATGCGACGTTGTAAGGACACTTTGTTGTGAGCAGAAACCACTACGAGGTGCGGACGGTCTGATTCCGGGTGGAGCATCTTCTGTTCCCCAAATGCAGTCGCAGAATCCAGAATAGCATGCGCGTTGGCCCCGGCTATACCAAATGAATTGATACTCACACGTTCCTGACGGTCATTTGGCCATGGTTGCGCTTTCACTGGAACCTCAATTCTGGAGCCTTCCTTGTGGACAGTGGCATTGGGCTCATGGAAATTGATGTTTGGTGGGATGGTGCGGTGTTGAAGGGCAAGGGTTGCTTTGATGATACTAGTGAGACCTGAAGCCCCCTCGGAATGACCGCAGTTTGGCTTGACCTGTTTTACCGTCAGGTTAGGTTATAGAAACGCCTGGAGTGACTTACACTACCCATGAGTACGCCATGGCCCTCGAAGAGCTTGGCCACAACTGACGTCTCAACCGAATCTCCAGCCGAGGTACCGGTCCCATGGCATTCGAAAAATCCCGTGTCGCAAATGTTATGTATCTGGGCCTGTTTGTATGCCGTTCGTATGAGAGTCTCTTGCGCGATTCCGCTGGGGTTAGTCATGACAGCTGTTCTCCCGTCAAAATTCACGGCCGTGGACCGTATGACCGCACGAACACAGTCGCCATCTCTCAGGGCGTCGCTGAGGCGCTTGAGATAGACTGCATTGATTGCCTCTCCACGCCCATACCCGTCCGCATTGGCATCAAATGTTTGACATTGACCCGAAGGCGACAGAACACCGTTTTGATTCATGACACTTGTCATCGTCGGGGTCAATATTAGGTTGGTGCCAGCAACGATGGCAGAGGAGCATTGCCCGGAGCGAAGTCCTTGACAAGCCTCGTGCAAGCCTACCAGCGAGGCGGAGCATCCGGTTTGTATAGTCATGCTATGGCCTAGTCAGCATTGTCTAAAGAAAGCCAATGTTCGGTGATGCTAGTTATACCTTGGCCCACGAAAGTCAAATTCATATGAGACTCGGTTTGACAAGGCAAAGCCTCCGGTAGCCAGAGCGTGATGGCGATCTGCACAAGGGTCTAGTCCCTTGAGGGACAATTCCAGCCAATCCTCCCCAAAAACTCCGACATAGCAGCCTATGTCCTTCCCACGCCAACTGGTTTCGCCAGAGTCTTCGAGGCACTCCCACACCACTTCGAGGAGCAACCGTTGCTGGGGATCCATGAGCCTGGCTTCTTTGGCACCAACGGAGAAAAATCCGGCATCAAAGTACGCAGGATCCTCCTCCAAGAAATATCCGGTCACCGGGGCGGTAGAGGGGTGAAAAAAGGATTTCGCGTTATACCGACTCTTGGGGACAGGGCCATGGCCACTTTTGCCTGAGACGAGCATGTCCCAGAACTCATCTGCGGTGCGAACATTTCCGGGTAATCTCAAGCCCATGCCCACAATTGCAATGGGTTCATCTGCTGCGCCGTCGCTCTCGCGACAGAAGCTTCTTTCGTTCATGGGAGTGGTCATCTTTGCTAGTAATCCAGTTCAGACGTTGTCTCATTGTGATAATGGACTTATCGCGGGAGGAAAATATAGTTTTAACAAGTCCTCCTTCGCTATGTGTAGCTCAAGAGGTATACTTTCGGTGATTGAGAAGCAGAATATGCTTAATTACATCTTTATTTCCCATAAGGAGCAATTTGCATTGGTCGTCTGATTGCAAAAGCTTATGTATGTCTCTCATACTGTGCGATGTCGATGGGTAGTACAGCATAATGTGGACCCAGAACGGCACGTTTCACAACGTCCGCAGAAGCAGCCCTTGCGAGGCGATGGACACAGTAGGGTCTCCATTCTTGCTCCTGAACAGATACCTTGATTTTACCCCTCCCCTTTTTCCTTCTTCCTGCATATCCAAGTTCAATTGAAATGCATAAATGGAAGATCCAAGGGTACTCGCAAACTATTGTTTGTCTGGCGGAGTTCCTGACCGCCTCTTCCTGGTCGTCTAGAAACTCTCAATGGCAAAAGCGGTTGTCCCTTTCGTACAAGATTTGTAGTCAGTAAGAAGCTCGAGACCTATCTATTAACATGGTCTACCATGTTTACACTAACAACCTTTCAGAATAAACCATTCTCGCTGCATCATTGTGCTACCACAGCACTATTGCATTTGAATTCTTCGAATTTGGATAACTTCTCATTGCAGGTCACACCGCACAGTGCCTTTTGCAGGCATGAGGGGACCAAATTGTAAGTTTTGGGTGAAATATGCTAAGCTCTCAGATCTGACATCAGATCTCTGTACCTCTGCTCGAAGTCGCAGAACATTTCCAGAATTTCCGACGTAAATCCATTCGCACAGTGCCTGAGCAGTGCCTCCCGTAACCCTTCCTTCGCCTCATGGATCTTGCGCAGAACAGCCTGGACAATTGAAGATCCGCTAGGGATCTTCTTCACAAAGTGGACCTACAATTATCAGTATACATCATCAGACTAGAAACCTTCCAGGCAGTATACCTTGCTTGCAGTAGCTACAATAGCCTGAGTCAGGGCTTTGATCAATTCGTATGTAGCAGTCAAGACTTGCTCTTCCGCGTCCCCGCCTGCGGTGACCTCTGTGGATGCGATTCTTTTCTGTGCGATCATGGCGGTATCATAGACCTTGTAGGTGCCTCGAGTCAAGTAAAGCAGATTGCTCATACCACCCTGATATTGCTCGATTTGGGAGGTCATATCTTTCACGGTTTCCGTGAGTAGGTGCAGTTCTACGACCATGTCCGCAGTTGAAGCATAAGGCTTTCCGGAAGACCGTGGAGCAAATGCCCCTACAAAGGAAACAGAACCCGTCATAGCGATGGGAGGTTGGGAAATCGACGTACTGCCTACGCTTGGGGAACAGATAATGGTAGATTAAGGTGAAAGGAAACAGGCTACTGGATATATCATATGGAAATCAGAAACGTGAGTCCTCTGGATGTGCGTTCTTTATTCTAGGAAGCACCAAGGAGATTCTCCTCCCTTGCAGCTGCTGAATGTAGAGTCAATGAACAGGCAACAATCACTTCAAGTTTGAAAATGCCGCCCACAATAGATTTTGAAGGGTTACACCGGACGCCTTGCGACACAAGCCCAGGGGTAGATGCTTTCGTCAGACCTTGTCGCTTTATCTTGTTTCTACTACTGTTATCGCACGATGTGACACAAACAGATCTGGCATTCTTGAATACTAATCACTTCAATGATCAAGTAATCCATGAAAGGGATTTCTTTGCAAATAGGATTTTCACCCTCAAATGGTGGAGATTGATGATATCATCTGTGTAACAGACCAGCTACTCCCTTGCAATCAAACATTCGATCTTTTGATGCGCAATTGGACTCCGTGCTCGTGACACATGGTCAGGCTCTGCCGCAATGGAGGGTTGAGCCCCATGTCTGGCCCTGGCTGGGCGCTCTCAACGGAGTCCAGGTATTGAACTAACCTGAATACCTGCTGGCTAATCAGGATTATGGCAAATTGCTCTGTTCGAAGCACTCTGGTTAGCAGCGAGTTTCATCGGGTATCCTTGCCAGCATGCTGATCTGCGCAGAGAGGGAACTCACGGCCAAGACACGCTCTGGGTCCACCATTGAAGGGAACGAAGTCCCACGCCGGTGGGTTGTATTCTTCCCATCTCTCCGGTCGGAATGTCTCAACATCCGCGCCCCAGATATCCGGACGCCGATGAAGGCACCAGACTGAATAGGCGACCATCTGCCCCTTGGGAATGAACACTGGGGATCGACCATCCGGACCACCTCCCACGGGAATTGTCGTATCATGATGAGCAACACGCGCATTCAAAGGAACGGGGGGGAAGAGACGAAGTGCTATTTCAAACGCTTAGCATATGTCGATGAAGTAGAGGAAATTTTGGATGATTCGGAGAGATATTAGAAGACATATTTTATGGCTCACCTTCGTACAAAACACCGCGTAGATAAGGAAGACTCTGTATGTCCTTCAAGGTGATATTGCTCGCGTGCTTGTCCACCGCATCGGTGACTTCCTTTTTCAACGTACGCCATGCGACAGAGTCTCGTCCAAGAAGAAAGAAGATGGAGGTGAACACGCTGGCAACGTCGTCTCGACTGGCTAAAAGAACATTCACCAATTGATCCCTCAGGAAATCCCGATCTTGTGTCTCGGCCGCCAGTGCGTGCAGAAAACAATATTCATCTCCTTTCTGTTCATGGCCACCCCCCGAGCTATTAATCTTGCTTCTGTATTCGATTGCCTTATCAACGTAGTACTCCACGAATTTGTGAACAACACGAGTGGAGTTTTTCAATTCGCTAGGGTTAATCAGCCAGTAGTAAGAAAGCGCGAGAGTTCGTCTGAAAAGGATATCTTGGGCGTAGTCGAATGCCGCAGCAAACCCTTCGTTTCCGCGACCTGAAGTTTCTGCAATACCTGTCTGATTGGAGTCTGGCTTAATGAGGGAACTAATAGACTCCCCAAACAGATAGCCCGTGGCAGAGTCAAGTGCCAGTCGGAAGGCAAGCGGCTGGATATCAAAGACCTGCCCATCGGGCGGCAGTGCTTGCATTAAGTTCTTAGAATGGGAGTCAAACCATTCAATTGGGGGTATCTATGACGCCAATCGCGTTAGATAGGCCACATCAGATCGGTCTGTGAGTGGTCAACATACCTGATTCTTCGTGAACTGGGGGCGTAGCAACTTCCTCGAGTGCTCCCAGGCTGAGCCGTCGGATGTGAATATCCCCCTCCCAAGCAATGGGCGGTACTGTGGGTAACGCCATTTAGACAGTCCGAAGCTGGAGAACTGCGTGGCTAAAAGTGCCTGGATATTCTCTGGTTCGCAAGTAGTGACAACATCGTGACCCACAAAATTCAATTTCAGGGTGTTTCCATACTGCAAATGAACCTCGTGCAGAGTAGATCCAACTTGGCCTTCTTGAGCCGCAGTCTTCGCGCGCCAGACCGCTTTATGACCAAACAGCCCACTTGGATAGGAAAATACTGGCTCGCAATTCCATTGCTTCGATAGCTTCCGAGACCTATATCTTCTGCTAATAATTCGATAGAGCTGCAGTGCCACCACGGCTGAGAGGAATGTGGCCAATGACAAGGGGATTGCAGACCACAACATTTTTGACAAGTAGAAGTTATTCACGAAAGGTGTAAGGCGGAATATCGTATCTATTCCGGCTGACTGGGGATCGGCTACCTGTGAGGCTATTTCCAGCCGGCTATATAAAAGTTGGAAAGATCCTACAGTATCTTCTGTGTCCTACGTTCAGAAAAGAGATTTGCGACATATGATGTGATATTTACACATTCATCGTTTCTCGATTTCCCCTTTCACGAACATGCATATTGGTTGCATTCCGGCACCTTATATCCTTCCTATCCTTGCATCGACGGCGTCGAATACGGAACTTGGTTCAGATATCATGTATGTTTGGGGTCGGTTACATAAGGAAGACTTACGAGTCATTGTTAACATTGGTCTGTCTATCGCTTGAATACATTGGTGGGAACTATACTCTAGGGTCTGTTTCTCTTCGATTATCGGGTGAATAAGTAATACAATGCTTCACACCACCTCTATCCACAATGCATGTTCAGATTAGCCGTAATGAGCCATAAAATGAATATGGTCACAGAAAGCGCCTTCGTAAGATTCTGGCTGCAATAGATATGATTTGCCTATGCATCGGAAGGCCGTCTTTTCAGTATATAATGGTTCATTTTCACCTTGTGTTGCACTCAGTCTTTGAGAGACAAGAGGTACGAACGTGTGTGAGAAAGGTGCTTTGGTTTGTCTAAACCTTCCGAAGAGAAATGTTGTAGGCAGGAAAAGGTCCTTCGTCGCGAATCAGAAATTGATATGTTCCCCTCTGTAACATGGCTATGGCTACTCGATTTAGTCCCAGAGAGGCTGAGAACAGGATGGCCCGTTGGCGATCCCAGAATAGGAGACCATGTATGCTCTACCTGGTGGCCCGGCATCTCATCAATATGCGTATGCATTCTTCCCTCTTAGCTCAAGCAGGCTGCGGTGGCGGTCTCTAAGGATCTCGTGGGCAGTGTGTACTGGAATTTGAGTATCGGTGGTATGATAGCAGTATTATTTTTCTCGTGTGTGACAATGCTCTGAAGCTAGATTGGTGACTTGGGGTTAGAATGTAACCAATGAAATTGTATGCCAACTTATCTACTAAAGTGGTAGTATTATCAACCCTTACATATTTACCCCTTGTTCATGTTCCTGTGACTGCATTGAAACCTGACAAGTTGAAAGATGCACGCTGACTTCATGGAGAAGGGTATGCCGGTTGGTAGCCGTAGTACAGCTTATGCACAGTTCCTATTGGTCTGTTGCAGTTGTCAGATAGGGAATAAGGGGGAGTCTAAGCAATGTTTGTGAACACCCGCCTCTATGAATATGCCGATCTGAAACAGATCAGTTAGTTGTACACGAACAACATAATTCGTGTCACCCAGGGTGTTGCAGTGCGGCACATTAAACTTTTCCTTTATAACAACTTCAATCAGCCACGTAAACCTCCTGTCCAGAAATCTCTACACAATTTTGGTACCACCAAGAGCGCAAGAGCTGGCTTCTAGTGGCCTACAACCCGTTGCTAAGTACCAGCATCCAGTGCACACATAGCATTAAACACATTTCCTCCATTGGCTCGCCAACCACAAGTGTCACTAGCTTTGCCTTCTGCCCAATACCAAACCGGCCATCAATTAGATACTCAATATGGAAGGACATATTGAATGGTTTCGCGATCAAGTGATTTTCCTGACTGGGGGTACAGGAAATCTAGGCGTGTGTCTTCTATACAAGCTCACACTGCATTTACCCACGAAAAAGATCTTCGTGCTTTGTCGTGGCTCCGTGCAGCGTGCACTCGACAAGCTAGAGGCAGCAATGGCGGAACAATTTGACGATGTCCTAGACTCCCATCGCGTCCAATTCATGGTGGGAGATACCTCCAAACCTAGTCTCGGGTTAAAGCCTTCAGATCTGCGACAACTCCAAGATGAGGTTACCGTGGTAATTAATGCAGCGGCAGACATTTCGCTGCAACAACCACTTCATCTCAGCATCCAGACAAATTGCATAGCCCATCTAGAGCTACTTACACTAATTTGCGGATTCAGTCGTCTAAAATCGTTCCTCCACGTATCATCCACATCAGTGAACAGCTTTCTTCCTGACGGTATTATTGAGGAACGTATTTACCCCCTGTGTGAGGAAGATCCAGACCCAGAAAAGGTTCTGTCACATATCCTCCACGCTGGACAATCAGCATACACGGAGAACTTTGTCGCACCCTACGCTTTATGCAAATATCTCGCCGAGAGATTAATTCTAAAGCAAGATAACCTCCCCTTCAACATACTCATCGTGCGACCATCCCTCATTGGGCCAGCCATCCGCGACCCATATCCATATTATGGGAACGATGAAGGCATGCCCTTACATTCTGCGATCTACAACTTGGCAACAGACCCAGATTATGGGTTAGATGAGCTTGGAAAGGGAATCAACCTGGACGCTGTGTTTGACGAAATTCCTGTCGACCTGGTCGCCAACACTTGTCTAGCTCATTTAGCCGCTGGTTCAATAGGAATTGTTCAGGCTGCTGGGAGTCTCTATGCGGCATCAACTACTGGTGAAATTACTAACACCATGATTGAATCCGTGGCGCCCATGGCGATCGAAAAGCTTCGTCGTGGAGAGATACGCCAGAGTCAGAATCTGGCTCCAATGTTTTATCAAGTCCTTGAGAGGTATATGCGCACCTGGGATATTCGCTGTGGTCGATCGGAGCATCTGAAGGAGCATACGGGTGTCTTGGGGCTTAGCCTTGATGGGCATGACGCAAAGGCGTTCATGAAGCATCGCTGGCAGAATGTGACCAATTTGGTGTTCGGCTTGTCTTCAACCTAGTCCTCGAGCGGCCGGCAACACCCTTTTCACCAGGTGCATGATAGTCGAATTTCAGCAGCGATTTGCGGGGGTATCACAGTCTTGATGGTGGATCTGGTACCTCTGTTATTGCCTAAAGGCTTGAAAGCGGTCTATAGCAAAGAGAACGCGGTGAATTGGGCATTATACTTGTTCAGTATTTTAATAGTAATTCTTTCTGCCTGCATCTTAGCATGATATCAATTAAATGGAATACCCGGCACTCGATTCCCACCCGTGTTACCTAGCCTACACATTAAGTAAATGAGAATTGACGGATCGAACCATAAGTGCTACGAACAGCTAACGGACCCAAGTAGATACACTCGCTCCAGTAATGTACATCCCATTGACCGGCTCAAGCTTTATTTTTGCTTCGGAAGACAAGCCATCAGTTCGCACTTCTAGGTATTTCATTCCGTCTTCAGAGCCATGTCACTCCATTATCAGTACCTATGGTCTCGTCACGTCACACAGGCGATATTGTTATAGGTAATGTAGCGTCTCAAGTGACTAAGAGGTAGACGTTTAAAACTCATTGGACGGATCCATAAACTGCGCTGCGATGTTGTGCCGGAAAAAGCCCAGAATTTGTATCAGAACACACTGACGCTTTGTTGAGGTTGCCGATCACTCTTCATAGGGATACTAGTGAGGATCATGGAGAGCTCCGAGGTATTATTTCCTATCCTCATTTTCCGCGGAACTTTCAGACTCTGCGGTAAGTGCGCCGTTCTGCTCAACTCACAAATACCTCATCATGTTGGCAGTCCAAGCAACGCCCCCAACAAAGGGTGATGACGAATCTACCTTTCAAAATGCAATATATAAAGGTGAAATTATCCCCGACCCACTTCCCGGGAGTTCATTCTCATATTCCATCCGCCCCACCATTCACGACAATGCTTTCTTGGGTCTTCCAACACCTCGAGCGCAAGCACGAGCGCCGAGACAACCTCCATAAAGCTTAACTATACCGCTTCCGACAGTTCTCAAGTCCCCCTGTTTCAGAACTGCGGAACAGCCCGGTATGGAACCCGGTTGGAAAATATCTGCAAGGCTGTTTTAAACTACATTTCTGCATACAGCGCGAGGTCTATCTACAAGCCAGATATGGTGAGGTGTATGAAAAGCTGAATATAAATCCATCTGTAGAAGATACATCTTGCTCTATAACTGACATATAAGTTCTCAAGAAAATTCTCCAGTTAATGCCACAGGCCATCTGGAATCTGGAACAAGAAGCCCAGTATTTCTTGATTATATTTATAATAAGCCTCTGCAGCGAATACTGTGTGCTTACTATAAACAGGAAGATTGGTATCTTTCAAAATAGCTACGCGCAGAATGTATGCAGTCGGAAGGGTGTTGTATATAGACATACGGGTGCTGTGAGACACAGAGAAATAAGATATATCCACAATACAAAGGCCACTGCACTTCGATGTTTTTTATTATAAAAACACGAGAGGGTGCAGCATTATGATTGATAACTATAAGAGTAATATAATAATCATCGATATCTTTCAACCCGCCTTCGACGATGCCAGGGAATCTTACTTATATAGCTTGATAAATGCTTATGTTTATGGGTTTCCTCCTGAGATATGGGAAGATCTTAGCATTATTGAGATACCTTGACTGGATTTTTCTGCGATTGCTGGATACTCCTTCAGGCTTTTTATCGCTGTCATCGGGGCAAAGTTTTGGGAATACTTGTCTTCCTTTTCGGCGCCAGAACTGACCGGGGACCATCAAGGCTTAAGTCAAAAGTCCAGTGAATATCATTGGGGCATCCTTATCTCTCATCTCTGTGTGAGTTGGCCGGGTGCATGTAGCGAGGTGGGACGGTCCACTTGAGTCATAGTAGTATATTAAATGGAAATTCCTCTGTATTAAGGGAACATTTAACCTCAGCTCCTACCTCAACCCTTCTTCTTCTCTCAACCTTAACACTTGATTGAATGCCGGTCTAAGTTACAGCAGCGCTCCTTCCTCGAGTTTGGACCTGCCAGTTTCCACGGCAAAAGCAGCAACAGAACGCGACTTCGTACGTAGCTGACAACTTCATATTCTACATCGTGTCAGCGGATTCCCATTCTACATCGTGTTATCCTCAACACAACTAAACATGATCTTCAAAAATCTTCCTGACTTTCAGACATCACCTTCTAAGTGGATTAATCTTTGTACACTTCCCCCAACCTCGACAGGTCCCTGTCCTGTGGACGCTCGAATCGACGGGGATGAGCAGTTCACGCGTGCCTCAGAGGAGAGACATCGGTGAGCAATATCCTTGGATTGCGAGAAGATACCGGCTATTAACACTCTTTACTCAGGGAGATTGTCTGGTTAAAATATGCCTTACTGGCTTACGGGAACGCGTATATATACGCTTACCTTAGGCTAGCAACAGAGCTTTGATTCACGCGCTCAGCTTCTTTCTCTACCTTATCGAACAAAATGAACATCCAAGCTTCCGCATAGCGGACGTCGTGATCCCATTCTGGCCGTATCCTTCCGGCCCCAGAATACCACTAGTGGCCAAATTTGGTGATGGGCGCTGGTTTTGGCTTTACTGCGGGCCTTCATTTTGGCGGCCTGCTTGTATGTCCTCGTGCTCTGGGCCCCTTTCGCCTTAAGAGCTGTTCTCCGCAAAACACTCTAATCATGATGACTCCCCCCTCATTGGGGGTGGGCTTTGGTGGTGCCAGTGGCCTGTGCCTTCTGGCACTTCTTATGTCGTCGTGCTTCGGGCACGAAAAAAGTGCGCATCAGGCTTCTCTTTTGCTACGTTATCATTATGAGAATGAGACTGACACTGTTTGCTCCAATTCATAGATTCTCTACATCCTGCCTCAGGGGCTATGTGCCCCAAAATATTGATGAATTCGAGCAAGCCCTGGAGCTTGTCCGGCGGGGTATGATACTCAGTACCAGCTTTTGTCATGAGTATATACTAAGTATAGGGGTTTTCCAGGCCGTCGGGCACCCCCCCCCCCCCCCCCCCGGCCCAGCAACTTTCCGCGAGTGGTTCAATGCCAAGTTCCTCCCCTGGGTAATGACTAAATTCATGCTCATAGGAACTATGGCTGATGCTTGTTTAGGGCGAAAATCCGGTGCCTGCCGCTGGTGGTGGGACTGGGGGTGCGGGGTGCCGCTGCTGCTGGTGGTGGTGCTGCCGCCATTGCTGCTACTGCTACTACTGCTACTACTGCTACTACTGCTGCTGGTGCTGCTGGTGCTGCTGGTGCTGGGACTGGGGGTGCTGGTGCTGGTGCTGCCTCCGGTGTTGCTGCTGGTGCCGCTGGCGCCACCACCACTACTACTAATACTACTACTACTGCTACTGCTACTGGTTCCGGTGCCGTTGGTGGGTCCTGAATAAGGACAGAGCTTTTCTTCTCTTTTTGTTTCTCTAAAAAAAAGCTCTTCGGTAAAGAGTCGCCCATAGGGCTCGGTTTGCGTTTTTTGTTTTAGGACTGCTGTATACTTTAGGTTCAGTATGATAATGAAATTGTTCGATTACCCATGGCGCTAGCCAGTAGACCAAAAAAGATATATCAATTCTATATGGAGATGAATAGAGGAATGTGATCTGAAAGAATGCAACAGGTTCTAATATTAAAAACTAAGCCCACCACGACCAAGGGTCCTGTTTTCAGTCGGCATCCCTCTCAGGAGATACATTGTGCAGTTGAAGAGTTCGTTAGGCATTTGACCAAGTCTGGTATAACATGTTGTCATTCGGTAATGCGAGGTATTCCCATTGCATCTAAAATTCGATCTTGTAAGAAAGCGCTCTCGACGACAAAAAAATTCTGCGGGCGGCAGTGGGATAGGCGACGATGTAACCATCCCTGCTAGCCATGAGAAGCAACATACATGGGAAGGATGTTCATGAGGTACCAAGCACCATCTAGAGAGGTGATTTCGATGTAATACTACACAGTTTGTGATAAAGCCCCGTCGTAAGATGAGGTGGAGCTGTATGTTGATGAAGAGAGTATTATTGATTCCTGTCTGTCTGTGTGGAGCAAGCCATGGAAGAGAAGCATGCATACCGACGTCTGTCCTTGCGTCTTGAAGTCCCGCGAGGTCTTCTGGATACAGGGACGGTTTTATTATTCACTTATTGAAGTGTTCAGACATCTCCGAGGCATAAAGCGTTGCATTTCTGCAAAGAATTCGTCGAAGGTAGGTAGTATCCATCCATTGGGGAAGGTTCATATATCAGTTGGGTCGAGTCGGAACGGTGGTTAAAAGAGGTGGGAAAAGGGAGATAGTCACCTGGATGAAGGAGCAAGTCGGTATTGTACTGCAAAGGTGGTCTACCAGGTATGTATGAGACTTCCTTTGCCGCAGAAGCTGCAAGTAAAGGTTAGTGTTGAGTATTCTGTTGATAATTGCATAACCTTAACCTCTACTCGCAGCATCTGCTGGAAAGGAAGAATCCTATACAAAACTGGTAGGCCACCTCTGTTGATAATTCACAACAGGATGAGCAGAACTCAATACCACGGGGACATAATATATCTAAAGGTATTTCATCACTCTTTGGGATAGGGATACTATATCTCTTTGGGATAGGGATACTATATCTTCTAGTTGATGGAATGGATGAAGAGACAGGTGAGAGAGAATGAGCAGGGAAGAGATCTAAGCCTTAAGAGGCAGAGGTAAGGGTTCGACGCAAAATGCTACAATTGGCATGCATCTTACCTGGCTGATGGTAGTTGCTTGGGTCAGATCACATGCAAACATTTCATTTATACTGGTTCTGACCTCAGTCATTGCTACACCTTACTGCCTCGGCAATATGAATTCATGCAACACTTAATAATGTCTTGTCCTTGCTAATGAACACAATCTATTCCGGTATCTTCATCATCAATCTAACCAAACAATGCAAGCATGACTATGTGCATCTAATAAAAATAACAAACATGTACAAACACCCAGGCAGCCATCAGATCATATCTACAGCATAAACGCAGCCACACCCACTGCCGCAACAAGCACCGAGTAATCCAACACGCTCTTCATCGCACCGCTAGTAGCAATGAGCACACTAGGCTCATAAGCACCCGGGGTAGTGCTATTCGTGGTTCCGTTCCAGCAGTAATCGTTGAAGCAAGTAGTGCAGATATCCGGGAGGGAAGTGTTCGTGCGGTAGGTGGACCTCTGCAAGATAGCGCAGGCCACGCAAGACGGGAAGTTATCATCCACGGTACCGTTACCGCGGGTGACCACGTTCCAACCGTTGGTGATGACGGAGTCACGTTCCTCGTCGCTGTAGGTGAGCTTGAAGGTGGAGAAGTTGGAGTCGTAGGTGTAGGGGCTGTTGGGCAGGTAGATGACTAGAGGAGCCGTGCCGGAGATGTTCTTGGGGTCGCAGCCAAAGAAGGTCGGGCGGGAGTTGAGGCCCAGGTTGACGAAGGTGTTCTGGTCCGGGACGGCGGGGAAGGCGGTGCCGTTGGCGATGGTGGGTTCGAGACTGCGCTCGTAGGTGGCCACCAGAGAGGTGCCGTTGGGCCAGTAGTAGTCTGTGTCGGCGGAGGAGTCGATGGCGAAGATGACGTCCACGGCACGCTCGGGCTGGATCAGCGGGTGCAGAGGGATGTTCTCGCCGTCTTCACCGCCGTCGACCACGTCGAGGTCCTTGGCGGTGGCGTAGTCTTCGCTGCTGTCGCGGTATCCCGAGAAGGGGTTCGGGGAGTACACGGCGATGTCGTCGTTGCGCTCACCGAGGTCCTCGAGGATGTCGGTGAAGGCGTCCTTCAGGATGGTTGGGATGCTGGTGCTGTTGATCTGGAGGAGGAATTGGTTGAACAGGGTGGAAGACGAGCCCATGATGAACCCGGCGTTGTCGAAGCCGCGCACGCAGGTGCCGTTGTCGGGGATAGCGCCGTTCTCGAAGCGAGAGCCCAGGTACTGCAGAGGGGCGAAGGCGTAGACGCTAGGGTCGAAGGAGCCGAATTCCCAGGGGTTCACTTCGTAGACGGTGGCATTGGTCTCGACGATGACTTCGCCGGGGTTGCGGCCATCGGCGACGACAATGGGCATGGGGTACTGGCCGTTCTTGAAGTCGTCCATGAGGGCAATGGAGGACCAGGTGTAGTCGGGACCGCCCTTGTCGTCGGAAGCGTTCACCAGCTGGTAGGACAGCGCACGGCCCCAGTAGTCGGTGAAGGAGGTGTTGAAACCAGCGTCGGCCTTGCCGTCGACTTCCTCGGTGATGTCCTTCCAATATTCCACCGTGCTGACGATCTGGATGTGGTCGAAGTTGGGTCCCTCGAGCAGGGACTTGTCGAAGCGCCAGACCTTCTCGCTGGCCTGAAGTTCGCCGATGGAGGAGAAGTTGTTGACGAACATGGATCCGACCAGCCAGCTACCTCCACTCAGACCAGCGACGTAGGTTGCCGCCTGCAGCAGACCACCCAGCTGCCCGGAATTGGTGGCATTGTCGGAGCGGCTGTCGAACGCCTTCAGGGCACCAGCACCGTTGGTGAGAGCACGGTATCCACCACCCGAGGCCGCAATTGCAATGTTGGGGATGTTGGAGATGTTGCTGGAGTGCTGGTTGATGTAGGAGGTGGTGTCGAAGCCGGTGAGGTTCAGACGGCTCAGGAGGTCCTTCATCGGGGTGAGAGTCGCATTGCGACGGACCTTGAGCCACTCGGTCTCGTTGGTAGAAATGCCGGAGGCATCGCGAATGCTAGGCCGAGTCGAGGGACAGGTGACATTGGAGGGAGTATATCCGTCGGGGGCATTGGGGAGGGCGCGGACGATTAAATCGGCGGCGACGGAAGCAACCTCAGCCTCGGCCCTTTCGACAGGGAGGGAAGCAGCATTAGCGAGGCCTGCAGCGGCTGCAGCGAAAAGAGGCAGCTTCATGATCGACAGGGACGACGATCTCGGAGGGAAGGACTGGGGGGGTGGAGGAGGACGGCACGAGAAGGGAAAAAAAGTTGCGAAGAGATTCAGCGCACAGAATGCCTTATAATAATATCATCCCGAGGGAACAGCCACATCTTGCGGATCGTCCGGAAGGCTTTGGGCAGCCTTGGCGAATCCACCATGTGAACCAGAGTTTCTGTGAATGCAGCGAGCTCCGTACAGTCAGCGGCTCTAACGCGGAGTTCGGCAGGAATGTTAGGGCCAATCCCTCGGTCTGGGGAACCCTTGATAGGCCCAAGGAAAGGGGAACAGCCCCATCCAGGAGGTTTGCTGTCCCTGGAACCACTTCATCCTAGGCAGCAAGATTGCCCCTGCGCCACTGATCCTGCCAAAGGAATCGGGGTCCGTGGGGGCCGACCAGGCTGAATCGAAATTTTGGGCCGCGAAATCTTGGTTTGCTTTGATCGCAGGGGGATGAGAATTTCTCCCAGAAATGGGGTGATATGACATCGACTAGTAAATTTCATCTGCAGGTGGCAGGCTGAGTGATACAAACCCGCATGGTTTGCAATGCCGCCATGATTTCCGAGGAGATTTTCCTCGTGTGGTTCCGGTGTGCGACGCGACAAACCATCCGACAGGGAACCAGCTGTCAGACGGAAAAAAAGAAAGCAAACAAACAAGCAGCACAAAAATGGGCAATGGAGGGGATACGAATACGAGATGGGGCTAGGTGGGTGCACGTGATCTGACATCAGACACAAACATGGATGACATAAGCAAGGAAATGCTGACATCACCACGATGTCATTCACGTGACTGTCAATCATCTGACCTCATTTGGCAGAGTTATGCACATCCATGACATACCTGATGATTAACTACTTCACAAGATCTGCATATGCAGTAGATAGCATCTGAAGTCAAGATGGACTCCCGTCCATGACATCACCAACTACCCCCAGAGTCAATAACTAAGCACTCCCTCCAAATATAAAACAAATGTAACCTCCATCCCTTGCAGAAGCATTCCTGTTTCTTACAATCAAACATTCATCACATATCTCTCACTTTCAACTCGAAACAATTCAACACCAATAACCACAAGTCACCATGGACAAACTCTCCGGTCTCGCCTCGAAGCTCAGCGGTGGCAACAAGTCCGGCGGTGACGCGCAGGCCTCGGGGTCGAGCGGAAACCAGGGCCAGGAGGATTACCTCGATAAGGGTGAGTATTTTTCCGCGCACGCCTACAACAACACGTTGTTGGTTTGGGCTATCGCGATTGGAATGGAATGCTGATATCATCTCTCTTGTAGGCCTCGATTCGGTCGAACAGAAGTTTGGTGGTGGCAAGATCGATCCTCAGAAGATGCGCTCGACAAATGAGAAGATCACGGATACGGCGAGGAATCAGTTTGAGAGTGCTACCGGGTAAGTTTGTATTTTCATGACTGTGGTATAGTTTGCGATGGTTATAAGCTAATATGTGATAATATAGAAAGAATGTCCCTGACAAGTTCTCCAATTAGTTTCACTACATGAGGGAGTGAAGGATTAGATAATATTTAAGGATTAATGAAATTTAATAAACCTCGGAATTGCAAATGTGAACGTTAGAGACCATACGTCTAAGTATTTATTGTTTCGTTGGTAGGTTAGGCACCTCTTATCGAGGAAGTCATCGGGAGGGACGGTTATCGATGAGATGGATGTGTTGGTCTTTTCAAAAAGATGTCGACGAATTAAGCATGAGGGAAGGTTCCTTCTTATTCTCACCCAAAAAGATGATGAAGCCTTTTCAAGGTTGAAGTCTAGTTGTTTTCGCATCATTATCATTTTGCAGTGACAACTCTCCCGATTCGACTGGCCAGCAGCACGGGTCATGTTCGAATAACATCGAAGTTCAAGTTTAGTCAACTCTCGCCTGTATGCAGTGAACGGACACTCATACTTGATTAGTAAATGTAGTATGCAGTCGAAGTACTCGATCAGAATTAAAGAGTGCATGGATTGCCTACTGCGGCTGGTATTCTGTTGATGTCTGTACCGGTAGTAGTAAATATAAAGTGATGAGATACTGAGGGGCATTGGGTGCCAGAAAGCTTTCGCTCCAGAAGCCAAACGCAGGGAGTTCATTGCAGTCTGTTCTTCATGGCAACTCGAGAACGAAATGGGCTGTAAAATCGTATACCACCATGTAGATTTTTTCCTCACCCCGATAACAAAGGTTTCAACCAGCGTTGGAAGGCGACAGGAGGTGGCCTCCTTCGTCAAAATCCAGGTTAGGCCTGCTGTTCAAAGACCAAGACTCTCAGTTCAGCAGTACCTCCATTCGCACAAAAGCGTTATAGAAAATGTCTCTTCCCAATTCAATTCAACCTGGATCTTTAATTGTAGGCTACTCTTTACTTACAGATGTTGAACCACGTGGTTGCTACAACGAAGAAGTTACTAAAACCATGATAGCAAGACTGAATTCAGGAAGCTTTTGATTTGGTTCCCAATGATGAATTAAGGTTTAGCATTAGCAATATAGTCAGGCAGCTTGTTAGGTCGACTGAAGCTGCGAGCTAATGCGCCTGGGATTCCTCATTACTCGAATCCAAAGACATAGGCATTTACCCAATACCTTAAATAGACCCTGGAGAAGTTGCGGTAGCCGCATAGAAAGACATCCACGATCATCGGATTATTCTCATATTTCTCAACTTCCACAGGATACCCCCTTGCATCTTCGCAGCATAAGCACATTGAAGTGCAATGGCTCTTATGGAGCGGATGCTTATCAGTTCTTGGCTTCTCGCAGCATCCGCATTCCCGTCCACAGCACCCTCCGGAGCGTGCACATTCCTGGCGCAGAAAGCTGGAGAGATACCAATCCTTCTGTTGTTGATGTGCGTACAGTATCCGCCCTAGAGGCCCGTCGGGAAGTGTATTTAAACAGCGATAGGTTTCTCGTTCCAGGTTGCAGTTTGTTTCTCTGAGAGAGCGGAGTTCTTTTTTGTAGGTTTGCATCTCATCTACAGAAGTAGACGGGACTTTCGTCGATGCCTCGTACAACATGTCATGCTTGGCTCGCAGGTAGACTTCGCGCTGTATTGAGAAGCGTAGCTTGAAGTACATTTGAATATATCTTTCAACGGGCTGCCAGATATGCCTATATGAGAGAAGAGAAATTCCACATCTAGGAAGCTGGAGTAGGCGGCAGAACTGAGCTGTATCACGGTCACCTTTTCGCTGATGCTTATCTTCCTCATGTCGGAAGAGTGGCCTAAGAAAGTATCTGACCACCGCTGAAAGTGACATGTTGGCTCGTTCGGGAGTAAAACTTGAAAGAAAAAGGTGAGAAGCCAAGGCAGGCTTTTATGAAGTCACACGATGACATGTATTCTCATCATGACATGAAGATTGCGGGAGAAACGGAACATAGTGAGGTATTGATGAGTCGAACAGAATAGAGTTCTTTCCCTACAATGAGCATAGAGAGCTGACCAGCGCGAAAGGTGTTGAGACATTCACTGCAGCCAGGCAGCTGTCAGCTGATTCCTCGACTCTTCTTCCTGCGTGGCCTCTGACCACCACCTCTTCCAACCATCCAACCCAACCACCAACCATCTTTTTGAGATCTAGATAGATCGAATCCATATATCTTTGCCCCTTTCGTCTTGACAATTTAACTAATTATGGAAATGGGGTTTAATTGCCCAAGTGGCCTGCAGTGTCAACAATAGTACAGACAGGCTGGGGATCTATATCTTGACCGCAGGATGTCTCGTACAGCTGGTGGTTTCCTGGTGCTGTACGGATACTTAGAATTCGTACACGACACTGAATCATATGAAAAAGGCATATGCATAAAAGCATATTGGCGCTTGTGGTCGTCGACAAATGGATGGCGTGGTTATTTTTCCCACACATGAAACTCTAGGACATCTTTTCGATGGGCTGCCTATGCGGATGGGCTGCCTATGTTAATCGCCAATATTAGGCTAAGCATCTGACATTCGACAGCATTTTTGAAAGGGTTTCAAATGGAGGCGAGCCTTACGCGAGCGGAGGGAGGAGCTCGAGTCTGTACAACGATTCGGAACACTTACTGCGTCGATGGGGAGAAAAGATTTATATCTTTATGATATACAATCCAAGATAATAAGGATAGGCTTTTTGGGATCCCCCTGCGTGTGGTTCCATATATAAATACGCACTTTTACAATAACGTTACCAGCGCGAAAGGTGCAAATGGAAAGGCGTGCAATGATAATGCCGAGGCAGGCAGCCCATACAAATCCTGGCGTTCCAAGTCGGTCAAAATTCTGACAATACTAAAGACACCTATATGGCAGTAGCATGGACAGCTTGCGTTGCCCCTTCCCAAAATGTTGCGTGGGGCAAGCAGGATGTGATGCGATTTTCGACTCCATCGTGATAGCAAAATCCCCCAAAGACAAGAATACCTCTTCTTTCTCGTTTTCAGAACAAAGAAAATCTTATTCAAAGTGAAGACCTGCCTCCCACCATCCTCGAATTCTCGAATAAATGTTGTTTCTCCAAATCCCACAACTGGCCCTTGCAATTGTCGGGTTTGCCGTCCTGGCGATGTTGTTCAGGGTGCTCTTGGATTCTTTTTGTACTTAGCTCTCCTGTCGTTCTCACTGGAGGTATGTTTAACATTCTTCTATCTTGTGGCTCTGCTGTCTATACCTTGGGTGGAAGCTAACAAAATGTGTTGAATTATAGCTTCCGTTTCCCTTACGTGGGGAAGTTTACCCCCCGGACAATAGGGGAGTTCGATAGGGCCTTGCGGATGGTCGAACAATCTCGTTAGACCCCCCAATACCAAAACACACGAGGGAGTGTGCCGTACTAATACCACTATGTGCCCCAGGAAAATAAAGGGCCCCTCAGTTGGTGCTGATGGTGGTGCTGCTGGTGCTGGGGCTGGTGGTAGTAACACCAGCGAGGAATGAGTATGACCGGGGATTGTTTCTCTCTCTTTATTTTACAACTCTGCGCATCAGAGTTCCCCTCGGGGGTTTCCTTGCACGGCATAGGGTGATATGCAGCATCACACTGAATAAGGTGTCGAAGGAAAGAGGGACGTCGATCCATTCATATCATGGAGCACTGAAGACGATAACAATATCAACGACATGCTTGTATGTGTTTCAGCAAGGAGGATGGTGTCTCCCTCTGACAAAATTTTGAAGTACTACATGACAATAGCAACTATCTTCCTCTGAGAGCCCCTCTCGGGATATATAATGAAGCATGCTAGAATCAGCGACTCAAGATACTTAAATGATTTTGTAAATGAGTTGAAGTAATAGTAAAGTTAGGCTCCAACATACTTTCCATTCCCTGGGCTGTACGACTTGTAGCAAGAAAACTGCCAAGTTTCATAATATAAAGATCGTATCGAATCTAGTATACGAGCTCCTGACCTTCCGAGGCTACGGAGGGACACGGCCATGGAATGATAATCAATGGTACTATGGAATATATTAGGCAGATGTACTAATAGTAATCTGAGGAACGAATAATCACATTCGCTGAAACGATGACAATAAACTCTGTATCCCCCCCGAAGTCCTCTGCGGCATTATATATCTTGTATGCATCCGACACAACTGCAACATAGTCTGCACCTCCTGGGGCACTGCCGCTCCGTTCTCACGACATCCTTCCACGACCCGCTCGTAGTAAGCCTGCGCCTCAACATGCTTCTGCGCCTCCATGTGCAATTTTCCCAACATAGCCAGCGTACTCTGCACTTCCGGGCAGCCCTTACCCATTCGATTCTCCGCCCACGTCAAGTATCTGCTCAACCACGGCGTGGCCAATTGCGAATTCGACTGGCCGGGCGTGCCATACAGCCCAGCCACGCTGCGTCCCTGCGACGCATACATCACACCCATCAGTGCCACGATGCTCATCGTCTCGGGATGATCCGCGCCCAGCTCCTCCTCTGCATTCGCCAGCGCACGTCGGAACGTCTCCGACGCCGTCGTGATCCCGTCCGGATTGAGCATCTGACTCCCACCCTGTAGCCTCAATGCCCGGATAGCGAGGGGATGGCGCGGACCGAGCAGGTCCGTCAGCTCGCGTGCAATATGCGTAGCCCCTTGCGCCAGCTGATCCACCTCTCCGCTGAACCGCATGACCATCAGTGCCCTCGTATCATGCGACCGCATTGAGAGCATATGGTCGGCAGTATCAAGAATTGACGCATACACGCGTATATGGTTAGGTCCCAGTAACTCCCGCAGCCGTTCAGTAACCTTCTCCGATACCTGAACAGCTTCTTGTCGTCGCTCGACAGCGCCATACGCGATCGCCAATCTCCGTCGCGTGTCGAGAGTGTCCAGATCATCTTCTCCGATGGTCATCTGCTGACGGGCTAGGACATTTGCACAGACCGACTCGCCTTCCTGGCCTTTGCCCTGATGGCAGAGGATTTCACCCATGAGACTTTCAGCCTTCATGGCGAGCGGGTGACGCTTATCGAAGACGCGTTGGCTGTTAGATGAGACCCAACTGGCCCATTCAGCGGCTTTGGAGAGGTATCCGGACTCGAGGTCAATCGAGGCGAGATGGTACCCTATCTCGAGAGTGCTGTGGTGGTCTGGTCCGATGGTGCGCATGTGTTCGTTGAAGATGTCGTATTCGAGTTTTCGGGCTTCGTCCCAGCGGTAGTTGTTCTTCAACTCGGCAGCCTTGATCGAGCGAGGATCGTTGTCGACGGGGGTGAAGAGAGTGCCGATGACGCGTTTGGTGTTGGGTTGGGGCGTGGGCGCGGCGGGATATGGGATACTGCTGTTTCCTGGCAGGCGCGGAGGGAGAGGGGGGGCTGGATGAGGAGATACAGAAGGTTGTGCGATGTATCCTTGTTCTGTTATGAGGACTTGATCGGCGATTTGCTTGATGTTGCCCTTGATCAGTTTATACATTGGGCCGCGGCTGCCCACTTTGCACATTTGAGAGTGGTCGGCGTCCAGCTTCAGTCGGGTTTCGCGTTGGCCGGGGAGTCCGAGGACAGCTGATTCCTCGTCGACTACGAGCTGTATGCTGTCAGGGTAAGATATAAAGAGCGAAGCTGGGATCCGCTTACGTGGCTCACAGAAGCCGGTCCAGCACCGCCCAAGAAGACTTCCTTGCCCTCCACAAAGCTGATCACGCGATAGTCCTCAAGTTGGTGCGAGAACCGACTCGTCATCTGTCGCGTGAAGAGCGAGTTGTGCTCCAGACAATCGAGCAAATCATTACTGGCGTGTCCTTTGGCCACGAAACGCGCCACCTTTGCTGCGATCTTGCCAAGCTCGACACCTTTGGTACCTCGATGTGGACAGCCAAAGAAGACAAGACCAGATGTATTGTTGCGGATCGAGTTGTACTTGGGGTCTTCGTGTGCGTTCAGCAGGGCCTTTCTGATCAGCTCTAGCTCTTTGATCCACCAGCAGTGGTGGTCACCCTACCTGTTTGATTACCAGTCCGCCCAAACTATGACCGATGAATATAATCTTCGTCGGTCGCACATTCTATTCCTCGTCAGATACCATTCCTCTCCCCGATAATCAGACAGAAGAACATACCAACTGTGGACTCCGCTCCAAGTCCAACAAATTCAGCAATGTATTCGCATGGTCTTTGACGCTAGCAGTCGACATGCTCTGGGGGTTCGTGATGGTAGAATTATACCCATAGACGAAGATGCGTGCCTGGGGAATATCCTGAGGGAGGTAGTCCCGCGGCCAGAAGATGCCGTTCTCGTGCGTCCATGTCTCGAAGGGGTGGTTGTCTTTGCCTCGAGGGTTTAAGCCGTGCACGAAGACGAAGCTGCAAGCCTAAGCAGATTGCCCGCTGGCATTATTGTGTCTGGTGTTGAACTCACTCGATCTTGGGCTGCTCCGCAGAGTAGACCTCTTCAAGGAATGGAAACTCATGTCGGGAGGCAGCCTCCATCGCTTGATCGGATGCTCTTCTGTCTGTTGAACGATGCTGCTATTTGGTGTATACTATGTGGTTAGGGTGGAGGAGAGGTGAGGGTGAACACTTTCGCCGACGAGCGGGCGCACTTCATTTGATGAATGATTGCCAGTCTATAGCCTTGTATCTCCAACCAATCGGCTATTATTACCCCAGACACACCTGGATACGATGCCAGGAACGTGAGCTATGCAGCCTGTTCCTGAGAGTAGTGCAACCACGCGAAGTGAAGCGCCGGTCATGCCGAGGCGAGGTCAGTCATGCCTATCGTGCCCTCCAATAGGGTAGGAATACGAGATGCTCATGCAGCTTAGTCTTGGCTC